TATATTGAGGGAAAATTAGGTCGGCATACTAACGATTATTATATTGAGGGAAATAAATGGAAAATTGTAAGGATGACCGAGGCAATTTCACATTTAGTGATGACTCATGAAAGCGAAAATCACAAACAATATGAAATTGTAGTACCTGTATAATATAATTAATCTGTAACACAGAGATAACTGATTAAGATATAAATACAAATAGCTTGAATGTATTATAAGTCGGGTGAAGTCAGATGGTGGGAGAGGGATAATTTTACCTGAGTAAGGTCATGTGAGGTTATTATCTGAATTTCATTAAAAATAGCAAGAGCTAATAGTTGTAAAATTATATGTGTAAATAAATGGGTACACAGCGATCGCAAAATTAAATTATCAAATTACCAATAAATGGAATAAAGAATTTACCAAACGTGAATAATTAAAGAAAAAAGTATATCTGTAAAGAAGACGAATAATTATGTCGAAAAATACTTCGGAATATGCACAAATATACTAGAAGAATAACATAAAATTACACGATTTAATTTGATGAATTATGTTATGATTATTATGACTCTCAGATATATGTATGCAAACCCTAAGTAAATTCATTACTCTATCGTAAATACATCGACAACGAAAAAGAACAATTACTATTGCAATGTTGGTTTGCGGTATCAAAATTATGTTATGCCAAATAAGCTGAAATGCGGAAAAATACCGAGGCTAACATAGGTCATAGGACCTGACCTGATTAGACCTGAACAACTATGTGTGTCAAGTGGCTCACAAAAAACGAATATAACGTTTTATACATAAAAGATACTCAAGTTGATATCAATAAAAATACAAGTAAAACAAGACACACGTTGCTTTAAAAATGTGTATACCATAAAAAGATCAAAAGTTAAAATGCTATTAGCTTGAACAGGGATAGAATGAAAATAGGTAGAGAGGGAGGGGAATAGCAGGGGGTTAGGGGAGAGGGGGTAGGGGACTGGGGAATGTGGGAAGCATGGGGAAGAGGTGTTATTTTTGGGATATATTTGAATATTCAGATATATCCCACAAATGCATAGTTAAACTGAGCCCAAATAAATGCACAGTAATAATATACGAATTAAACGTCGATATGGCGTCGGTTAATACAGTGAGAGATAATGAGAATAAAAAAGTCAAGAATATGGCAATGCTTAAGACTCTAGGCACGTGACCTACAATGTCCGTAGAAATAGATAATAATTTTGAGAAAATGCACGTTATGTTTCACCCACATGAATAAAAGATTAAAGCATTATAAACGATTTAGGCTAACTAGGCCTAAGTTATATTAAGAAAAAAAAAACACGCCAAAGAAAGAAATGACTCTCATGTGATCAAAATGGGGATTGATACCCTTAAAAAGGCGACAATTTACCATGATGAAAAAACAGAACATGGTAGATAACAGAAAAAAGGAAAGAAAATGCACTTTACACGGACACTTGTTTAGATATTTGAAAGAATATCACTGCATTTGTGAAAAAAAATTGTACGGCATGCACACATAGGCAAAGAAAAAGGAAAGGAAAGGAATGATTGCCCATGGTGTACTTAGAGTTTTTATGAGGAGGTATGGAATTGGTGTTGTAGCTGCCTAGAGCGACATACTGCCATCTGCCACCAGCTGTCAGTGTTTTTGTTTTTTGCCTGACTTTGGTGGGTTATGGAGACACAATTCTGGTTTCTTCCTTTATTTGTTGAGATGGTAGGTAGCATGGTGTGGGCTGTCTCGTTTTGTGCAGTTTTGGGCAAAGGGGAGCCCAAGGGCGCACCGAGCGGTAACACGTGTGGGGAGAGCCCCAAGTGGGCTGACCTGGTCAGGCCGCTACCCTCGGTCAACTCTGTTGTGGCTTTCAAGAGCGGGTCGCGGGTCCCTAGTGTTGGAGACGTGGGAAGGCAATACTTGTTCCTCAGACACACTCTCTCTCTCTCTCTCTCTCTCTCTCTCTCTCTCTCTCTCTCTCTCTCTCTCTCCTCTCTCTCTCTCTCTCTCTCTCTCTCTCTCTCTCTCTCTCTCTCTCTCTCTCTCTCTCTCTCTCTCTCTCTCTCTCTTCACTCACTCTTTTTTTCTTTTTTCTTTGTCTTTTCTTTATCAGTCCCCTCCCCCCAAGGACTGTACAAGTTCCTAGCTTTGTAATTCACCAAAACTCTAACAAGTGGACTTCTGGAATTGAAGAGTGTTCCTTATTCTATTTCCCTTCAACACTTTACAAGTCTTTCTCTTCCTTCACAGATATGGACCCTACGGAATTGGATGACGAAGAAGAAGGCATGTCCTATGCAGAGATGCTGAAGAGGGACCAGCGGAGGTGGGAGGTTGCAGATGAGGACAAGGATAATGCCCTCAGCTTGGACGAGTTCACCAACTTCTTGCACCCAGAGGAGTCTGAGCGCATGAGAGCAATTGTTGTTCAGGAAACAATGGAAGATATTGACAAGGACAAAGATGGCAAAATTTCTCTGGAAGAATATATTGGTAAGACCAAGCAGGTGATCTTTGAGAACAATAGAGATTTTAGATGGTGGTATTAAATGTAGCAGTGTTGCCATCAGCATATATTGATTTAGTTAGGTGTATAGGGATTACTGCTAAATAATCCATTGTGTTTACAATGTGGATTCTGTCTTTCTGGGTTCCCTCTTTATTTCTCCACTTATTTATCTTTCTCATAATCAAAGTTTACAGTATATTGTATTTCTGCAAATTACCATGATCATCTTTTACCCTTCACAGGAGACATGTATCACGGAGATGATGACGAGTTTGAACCATCATGGGTGAGCAACGAGAGAGATCAGTTCCGTGAATTCAGAGACAGGAACAATGATGGATACCTGGATGAGGAAGAGGTAAGGCTGAGGTCTCCATCTTTTCTAGATTAGGAAGTAAAGTTACCTTTTTGAAAGTAAAAAAAAAAGGAATTTGAGTAAAGGTTGAGATTATTGCCAGGAATGTTGTTTTATCATGAAATCATAAGACCAGCTGCTTTAGTGAGAATGTATTATCAACCTTTTGAATCCAGGCTAGGAATCTATAGCCATTCTCCTGTATGCATTTTAACCTAATGCAGCAAAGAAAATGTGATGCTTATAGTATTCTTTTGTTAAATATATATACACTTGGATGGCTCCACAAGTGCTCAGCTACAAAAAGGGTAATTAGGGGGCTATGTGACCTCACCTAATTTCCCCCTTGAGTTTTGGAGATTTTTTTTCTAATCAATGCTCTTATCATCATTATTAACATTATAATTATTACAGTGTTATTAACAATATCAATATAAAATAAAATAGATTTTTTTTATCAAGAAAAGGAGTATACAGGTGAGAGAGCTAGTGCTAGTAATTGGCACATTGGTAACAAGTAGTTGTGGAGCCATCTGTATGTAAAGACAATTAATTAAGTAAACTCACAGTGGGCATGGTCGTCCAAGACAGTATCAGCTTAATAAACTAAGCTCCTTGTGGGTATGGCAATGACAGCTACACAGAAAAATATTGTTAGAAAATCATGCGAAACATCATGACACAAGCAACGATACTTTTTAGAATATAGTTGAAACCGATTGTATCCCTGATTTTCCAACTACTTTTAGGTATATGTGACTCATCTAAATATTGCAAGGCATATTCCATTGCTTACAGAAATAAAGTATCATCTGACAGTGAATATATAATTCCAGATAGACTATTTGAGACATAAATCCAAACAAGACTAATTTGAAACTCAAAATACCAACCCTTCCCTAACATAAGGTTCTATTTGTTACTGAATGTTTTGATACTGCATATGCTATTCTTGGTGGGACTGGGTTAAGCTGCAAAAAATATGGAAGGGCTAATTTGAACATTATTGCTTTCCTTGTTGGGAATAACAGTGAAAAATGTGGCTTTATGTATGAAAATATACTAGTCGTATCATAAAACATTGCAGCAAAGACTAATTAAATCATATTCAGTAAATGTAGATGTATTAATGATATTTATAATGATATCAGTAAGAGCAGCAAGAATTTTAAAATCTGTGGTAAACTAAAAATTTTGTATATCAGAGCAGCTGGCAGCAGGAGCAACACTCAACTAGTTTTTGTTATTGTGCCAATTTGTTCATAGACATGAAATGTAGAAACGATAACAACAATGGTTATCACTGATATATACATATGTATAATTTTCTCTTTTTAAGGTCCAGGGTTGGATCATCCCACCAGACTACAATCATGCTGACGCAGAAGCCAAGCACCTCATTTATGAAGCAGATGATAATGCAGATAAAATGCTCACCAAGGAAGAAATCTTGAATAAGTATGATGTATTTGTAGGTTCTCAAGCAACAGACTTCGGTGAAGCTCTTGTCAGACATGATGAGTTTTAAAAACATTAGTGTTGATAAGCTCCCATAGATACAGTGATTAAATGTACAAACTTGGTTACACAAGAGCTTCTTGAAACCTCGCCAACCAAGTTACGAACAAATTTGTTTGGTGATTTGAGAGGCAAGTATATGGACTTCATTCTTTGCATACCAGAATTGATTAATATTATGCCAAGAGTAAAAGTCCTTTTAAAGAGACTTCTGTATATTTTGATGAATATCTTCAATACTAGTGAAGCAGTATTGATGACCGTTATAGCTGTGAAGTCTTTTCACAGGAGAGATGAGTGGTGGAACACAGCAAATTAATCTGGTTCCAGCAGTGTAATTTGTATGGAGTTTGGACTCTGTATGCTATTCAAGCTAGCATAGCTTTTTCATTTCTTACTCAAAACATTGTATTCTTTTCAATCATATTGATATTGTTGATAACCCTCTAAGGATGGATAATTGCAGATTTTCTGTAAGGATTTAGTGATACCCTCAGGTACCTATGACTGGTATTTATCCTTACTAAAAAATCTCTGAACAGTTTTAACTCTGTGGAAGATCCATATTTATGTACTGGATATAGTGAAACCAATTCCATTCGCGTCACTTTTTGCCAAGAGATAATGTTTCAGAGGGTTTTTTATTTGGTGGTGACTGACTTTGCCAAAAAAAAAAAAAGTTTATAATGTTATTCCAAGAAATTTACAAAATTCAACCAATATATTTACCTGTAGTTATTCAGTAATTGTAAAGGAATTCTATTCCACAAAATATAACCACTAAATTAATAAAGGGATTAAATATCATTTCCTGTAGGGGTTCATTAGGATTTTTTGTAATAATGGCTTTAATCTTATTTATTTAGTCATGGAACTGTCACAAATATTTTGTAAAGAGGAATCCATATATTGTTCAAAATTTATCAGTTACCAAATACTATGAACATTTTTCATTGTGTACCAAGCAATTTCATCATCATTTTTGAAAGCCAAAATATTTTTTTAGTACTTCATCAATATTTCCTCCCTACCCTTGTTTTTTTCTTTTGTTACTTTCTCCTATATAAAATAAATATTGTTGTCTTATTTCTTTGTTCTGCTTAATACTCAAAGAATATTTGTGATGACATCATAGTGAATCAACTGTAATATTGACATTTCATTAAATATTTATTTTCCTTAATTTTTTCAAACTGATCTGGGAAACTTGCTTGTGTAGTTGTTCTAACAATATAGATGATATTCTTTTGTAAATCTCAATACTTGTATTATTTTTTAATAAACATTTCCATAGAAAAATCTTATATTTTATTTACACACCATAAACATCCTTTTAATGAAATGATTGATGGTTGAAAAGCAAATAAATGTGCTAGGCATCAAAGGTCTTGCAACACTACAGGAAGGTATAATAGCGAAAAGAGTAAAGAGGGGGGCGAGTTAATGATATAATGATTAAATGTACTATAAATTGAAAGTCAAACAGTGCTTTAGAATAGTATGGCATTAAAAAAGGATAAAGAGGAGGAGTAAATGGACCATGGTAGGGATTAGCAAAAAGGGAAATGGGGGACGGGGTTAAGGGCGATTTAGGCCAAATTGAGGAATGAAGACAAATTGTCAAAAGGGGAAAGTGTATTATAAGAAGAAAGGATATGACAAAGATCAGGTCTGTCAGAATAGAAACCGTGAATATTCTAGTAGATAAGAATTCTAGTGAAGCAGTCAACCAGTAAAAAGGTTAAAATGGGTGTCGTAGAAGTAGGAGTGGAATAACACTGGGAATGTGGCAGGATCAGGGTGGAGATAAAGTATTGCGAGGAATGTCAGAGGCGAAGGATCTGGGGAAGGGGACTGCTGTGACGGATCCGTGTGTATCCAGGAGGAAGCGGAAGGGACAAAAGGGTGCATATGGGGTTAGGTGTGTTGGGAGGAATGGGTATAGAGGGAACATAAGGAGGAGGTTGGCTGTCAGCAGTCACTTTGAGTGCAGTGGGAATGCTAGCAGAGATGTAGTTGAGAGATTGGCTGGTTCTAAGGGCTATGATTAGAAAATTTTTAGTGTCCTCAAGGGAGTTGGGGTGTCTTATAAGGGGGAGAAGAGGAGACAGACATTACAGGAGCAGAGAAAGAGGCAGGTGTAGAAGATGAGTGAAAAGTTTAGATCAAGGTTCGCAACCTGGAAGCCACAGGATACATTCTGGGGGACCATGGAGCAATATTAAAAAAATGAAGTTGAATTAAAATAAAATCTATCTTACATACAACACCTACATATAATGGTTAATGGTTAAAATAAATGTGCTAGACATCTAAGGTCATATAGCATTATAGGAAGGTATAGTAAAGGGGATGTCAGGTGCTAGTTGCTATGTGTCAACTATCTAGAGGTGTGATGAAAGGTTGAAGATTGGGGAAAAGGTTATGGTGGTTTAGGTAAGGGAGTTAGATCAAGTGAAGGATATTTATGCGTCTGAGGAAGGAGAACAGGTTGTCAAGGCAGAAGCTGTGGGATTCTGTAAGGATGTCTGATATGTCGGGAGGTCAGCAAAGGGAGGATAGGTATGGAAAAGCAGAGGTACATGCTGTATTAAAGCGTGGATAGGACAAGAGAATGTGTGGAACTGAAAGAGGGACATTACATAGAGGACCAATGTAGGAGATCTATAGCTTATGAGTGATATCGCATATGGTACGTATTGGGGAATCTGGGGGGAGAAGGAGCTAGAGGGTGTGAAGGAGGGGTATTAGGAGGTAGGGAATTTGGGGAAGGGCATTGTTGTGACATGAGTGATTCGCGTGTGTATCCGGGAGGGAGTGCAAAAGATTGAGGGGATGGAGGGAGGGAGAATGTGCCTATAGTTGGGGTTGAAGGGGGTGGGTTGTGTTGGGAGGGAGTAGATGTGGGGGGAGTATTAGTGGTAGGAGGGTGGATATCGGAAGGATGGATAGTTTGAGTTGAAGGGGATGTGTTGTCTTGGGAGGGATTAGGAGGAAGGGGTGTAGGGGTGCTGTGAGTAAGAGAGGGATGGATATCAGGAGGATGGATATCGGAGGTGGACGGAATTGAGGGGGTTAGGTTGTGTTGAGAGGGAGTAGGAGGAAGGGGTGTAGGGGGAATATTAGTAGGAGGGTTATGAATATCGGCAACCACTTCAAGTGTGGAAGGATCATGAGTTATGGGATCTTGTGTCTTAAGCATATAACTTTGGATGTCATCCATTGCTTCTGTAGTGGAATTGTTTGGAGAGTTTTGTGAGAAGGTAATTGTTTCTGCAATGGAGTTGGTTGAAGAGTTTTGTGAGATAAAGGTTTTCTTATGAGGGGGGGAAGAGGAGACTGGTGTCTCAGGAATAAAGGTAAAGGTAGGTGGAGGTGATTGTGCTGTAGGGGAAGAATAGTTAGAACGTTTAGTCTGTCTACTGCGGGTAGTGTGGGGAGGGAGAGGAGATGGTGTTGAGGCTGTAGTTGAGACTGGAGCTGTGGTTAAGATTGGGGTGTCTGGGTTTAGAGTGGCAAAAGAATTGGTCTGAGGGAGGTAGAATGTAGAAGTGGTTGGGGCTGTAGTTGATATTGGAGCTGTGGTTGAGATTGGGGTGTCTGGGTTTAGAGTGGCAAAAGAATTGGTCTGAGGGAGGTAGAATGTAGAAGTGGTTGGGGCTGTAGTTGATATTGGAGCTGTGGTTGAGATTGGGGTGTCTGGGTTTAGAGTGGCAAAGGAATTGGTCTTAGGAATGTAGAATATAGAAGTGGAAATGGGGACATTTTGGGGTGGAGGGGGAGGGGCTGAGTGAATGATGTTACTAGAGTATGGAGTATGAGAGAAACATTGTCGAAGTGCTTCCTGTTTGGCTTCATGTAAAGTGAGACCATTTTTGTATCTGAGAGTTGCTACCTCAGATTCAAACTTGTATGTGGGACAGCCTCTATAAAATACATTATGGGGGCCGCCGCAGTTAGCACATGTTATGACCAGGTTGGGCACATATGGGGCATCGGTCTGTGGAACGGCAATGTTTGGCAGGATGTCCAAAGCGCCAACAGTTTTTACACTGACGGGGAGGGAGTTGGTATGGTCGAACAGAGAGGGATTGTCCACCGATGTAGATACGTAAGGGGAGGTCATGTGTACGGAAGGTAATTTTGGCAATGATGGTCAGATTCTTTCGTTGACCTTTAGGAGGAATGGTGTAGCAATGTACTGATTTCACATCTTGGTCTTTGAGGCATCCTAATAAGTCTTCTCCACAGTCTGACCAATCTTTGGTATCGACTGGGCAGTTTGCTGGGGAAAGAGAGACAGTTCCGGTACAGGTATTAAGGGTTGGATGAGGTTCTGCAGGAATGGGGTTGCCAGAATGATCAGTTAAATTTGATAGTGCTATAGATTCAGTGTCTGATCTGACTGTTACCAGACGGGAGCAGTCGCGTCTGGTATAAAAAGGGACTCTGCCTACTTGTTTTTGGAGGCATTGTTGAAAGAGAGGAGTGTTGCCTGAGTAAGGAACTGTAGAAGGGATCACGAAAAATCGGTCCCATTTAGCTGGGCTAAACAGAGTATTTAAGATATCTGTAGGTGGATGGTGGTGGATGGTCGGGGACGTGTGGAAGAGGGAGTATTACGGAATGATGGAGAATAAGGTTGCAAGGTAGTAATAAGGGAGGATTGGTTGTTTGATGAAGGTTGCAGGGGTAGAGTTGATGAATCTGAGGAAGTTGGGTGGGTAGCAATGTCTTCTGGAGATTTATTCTCTGCTTGGGTGGGTAATGCACTAGTAGGCATTGAGGAGTGGGTAGTAGTTTCAGTGTTCGGAGCCGTGGTCAAAGAAGAGCCTGGGTTGGGGCTATTTGATAAAGGGGCTAGCCTCATAGCCTCTAATAAAGGGATTACATTTTCATTACTGGTCATGGGGAACCTGGATTATGTAAAAAGGCCTAAACAGTCCCCCTCCTTTCGCTAATGAAGGTAAGGGCTAGATTACAGATCCTGAGGCCCTAGGCAGGGGAGATCCCTGTATTGGGTCTCAGTCTTCGTCTCCTAAGCCCCCCACGACAACAAACGGGCAAGGGATTGGGGGGTGGGGTTAAAGGAGAGCATGGGGTTACAGATTCGGGGGCATTAAAATAAATAGTTGATAAAGAGGTAAGCCTCATTTCCCCTAATAGGGATACAAAATCTTTACTGGCCTGGAGTATGGTAGGGAGCGAAATAGTCCATCCCTCAGGGTCTCCTTGAGGGGTAAGGGATAGACAATTAAGCGGGAATACCGTGTCCATAGCTCCTCTAGGCCAGTGTTGTCCAAACTGGGGTTAGGGTACCCTAGGGGGTACGCAACATAGATCACAAGGGTACGTGAACAACAAGGAACACACACACACACACACACACACACACACACACACACACACACACACACACACACACACACACACACACACACACACACACACACACACATCCATCCATCAGTGAGGATCCTCCCCATCCCTAACTGAAGGTAGGGAGGCGGTCTCAAAACTGAAGAGTGGTAAAGCAGTAGGCATATGTGGCAACCCAACTGAACTGTTAAAGGCTGATCGATGGGAGTGCAGCAATAACCGAGGCATCACACTGCTCAGTATACCAGGCAAGGTTCTCGCCCACATCCTTCTGAGACATATCAGAGATCATCAGAGGCCGGATCAATCTGGATTAACTCCTGGTAAGGCCACCATAAACTGTATCCTTGCGCTTCGAGACATTGTAGAGCGCCGTCGTGAGTTCGGGCGTGGGCTGCTTGCAGCCTACATCAACCTCAAGGCATTCGATACGGTACATCGGGAATCACTCTGGGAGATCCTGAGACTGAGAGGAATTCCAACAAGGATTATTAGACTAATAGCGTCTGTATCCTAGTACTGAAAATGCTGTCAAGTGTGGAGGGGGGGGTGGGGGCTGTCGAGCAGCTTTCCTGTTAGTTCAGGAGTGAGGCAAGGCTGTGTCCTTGCACCTACACTTTTTCTATACTTG